GCTTAAACTCCTAAAATCTACATTTTTAGCTCATTGAATGCTTTAACGAGCTGGTAACTATCTTTTGATTTGGACCTTTTTAGAGTCTACTAAAGTTTCACCTGACTCCATAAGAGCAGTTTTACACTCATTTGTTCTCCCAGGATGCAGAAAACGTCCCATTTGAGCCCAAAAGTCCACAAATGCAGAGTTTTATTACATTTTTAGGTCCGAATGCAGCTGAAAACATCCCACTTGTTTCCAACATCTCTTTTCAGCATGGGAGGAACGTGATCTTCTTATTTAAGCGGCCTCATCTGATCATTTAAGGCTGGCGGATTTAAATGAATGTTTTACAAACTCCTTAAGCCTTTAATTGCGTATTTAAGATACTTAAAGCTGATTCTGGGCTTTAAAAAAATCAGCATCCAAGTCACAAAGGGCCCAGTTTTCCCCTTTTGCAGCCGGCTGGTGATTCAGGGCTTAAACGACCCGGCAGAGCTCATTTAGGTTCTCGTTCAGGAGCTCGTTCGGGGGCTTCAAGGCTTTAGAGGCTCGTTTAGGGGCTTTAGGAGCTTATTTAGGGGCTTTAGAGGCTCATTTAGAGGCTTTAGGAGCTCATTTAGAGGCTTTAGGAGCTCATTTAGGGGCTTTAGAGGCTCGTTTAGGGCCTTTGAGGTTTTAGGGGCTTGTTCGGGGGCTTTAGGGCCTTTAGGGGCTTGTTTTGGGTCTTTAGGGGCTCGTTAGTGGGCTTTAAGGCTTAAGGGGCTCGTTTGGGCCTTTAGGGGGTCATTTAGGCCTTTAGGGGCTCATTTAGGCCTTTAGGGGCTCGTTTAGGCCTTTAGGGGCTCATTTAGGGCCTTTAGGGGCTCGTTTGGGGCCTTTAGGGGCTCGTTTATGCCTTTAAGGGCTCGTTCGGGGCTCTAGCGTCCCGGTTTTAGCTAGCAGCGGTTTCAGATTCTCCCGTTGGCCCGCAGGACCCGCTGGCCGGCATCATCCCGCGGACGCTGCATCAGATCTTCGAGAAGCTTTCGGAGAACGGCACCGAGTTCTCCGTCAAAGTGTCGCTGCTGGAGATCTACAACGAGGAACTGTTCGACCTGCTCAGCCCCGCCGAGGACGTCTCCGAGCGGCTGCAGCTGTTCGACGACCCGCGCAACAAGGTGAGGCTAGCAAGGCTAGCAGTGAGCTAGCACCGGCTAGCAGTGAGCTAGCGCCGGCCGTAACGGCTTGGTGCGAACTAAAGCTTGCAGGCGGCTAGTTAATAGCAACCGCGGCAGCTAACGGCGAGTTAGCGGTGAGCTAGCACTGGGTATCTGTGAGCTAGCACTGGGTATCTGTGAGCTAGCATCAGCTAGCGGTGAGAGCTAGCACCAGCTAGCGGTGAAAGCTAGTGCCAGCTAGTGGCTGGTTACCAATGCCCGCGGCAACTAGTCGCAAAGTTAGTGGTGAGAGCTAGTGCCAGCTAGCGGTGAGAGCTAGTGCCGGCTAGTGGCTAGTTAGTAGTGCCTACAGCGACTAAACACAAGTTAGCAGTGAGAGCTAGCGCAGGATAGCGGCTAGTTAGTAGGTTCTGTGGCAACTAGCTGCAAGTTAGCGGTGAGAGCTAGTGCCGGCTAGCAGCTAGTTAGCAATGACCACTGCAACTAGTCGCGAGTTTATGGTGAGCTTGCGTCGGCTAACAGTGAGAGCTAGCGCCTAGCTAGTGCCGGCTAGCGGCTAGTTAGTAGTGCCTACAGCGACTAGACACAAGTTAACAGTGAGAGCTAGCGCAGGATAGCGGCTAGTTAATAGTGTCTGTGGCAACTAGCCGCGAGTTAGCGGTGAGAGCTAGTGCCGGCTAGCGGCTAGTTAGCAATGACCACTGCGACTAGTCGCGAGTTAGTGGCGAGCTAGCGCCGGCTAAAAATAAGAGATACTGCTGCCTAGCAGCCTACAGCGACTAGCCATGAGTTAGCATTGAAAGCTAGCCAGTCAGCGGGTGGTAAGCAGTGCCCGTGGCGACTAACCGCGAGTTAGCGGTGAGCTAGCGCTGGGTATCTGTGAGCTGACTCTGGCTAGCTGTGAGCGAGCTGGTGCTCTTTAGCTTGGAGCTAGCTGTGAGCGAGCTGGAGCTTGTTAGCTGTGAGCTAGCGCTGCGTATCTGTGAGCTGACTCTGGCTAGCTGTGAGCGAGCTGGTGCTCTTTAGCTTGGAGCTAGCTGTGAGCTAGCTGGCGCCGGCTAGCTGTGAGCGAGCTGGTGCTTGTTAGCTGTGAGCTAGCTGGCGTTGGCTGGCTTTGAGCTAGCTGGCGCCGGCTAGCTGTGAGCGAGCTGGTGCTCTTTAGCTGTGAGCTAGCGGCGGCTAACCTGTGCCCGGTTCCCAGCGCGGCGTGGTGGTGAAGGGGCTGGAGGAGGTGACGGTGCACAATAAGGACGAGGTGTACCAGATCCTGGAGCGCGGCGCGGCTAAGCGCCGGACGGCCTCCACGCTGATGAACGCCTACTCCAGCCGATCGCACTCCGTGTTCTCCGTCACCATCCACATGAAGGAGATCACGCTGGACGGGGAGGAGCTGGTCAAGATCGGGAAGCTCAACCTGGTGAGGACCAAATCCTCCTTTTCTGACCCGGGAAACGTCCCGTTGGAGCTCCAAACGCTTTTACTGACGCCAGAGAAAAGGAAAGGTGGAAAGTTATCTTCAAGTGAGACGCACAACCTCGTCCAGCCCTTTATTTTAATTTAAAAAGACCCATTAAGCTGGAATTTATCTTAAATATACCCCTGAATAAGCCCCCAAATTACCAAAAGTATCTTCTTTTTAAAAAAACAAAACGCACAAAATAAATAAGAGCCAATTAAGTAAAATTGGATAAATACAAGTTCATTAAATAGAGTTTGCATAGATGAATAATAGCCAATGAAATGGAATTTTAATAAATAAGACTCAATTCAAATGAAGAGGGGCCAATTAAACAGAATTTGCCTTTATCAATTGGATGAAATCCCACATGTCAGTTTATTTTAGTAATCCATAACAGAAATATTTAAAAAACATTTGAAAATGAGTTTAGTTGAGACTTTTTGGGAGAATTATTTTATAATAGCCAATTAAACAGAAATTTCCCTTAAATAGTTTGATGACATCTGACATGTCAGTTTATTCTAGTAATATTTTCAATATTTTAGTTTATTATCAGTTTATTTTAGTAACAGAAATATAAAAAAAAAACTTTTGGGGGAGAAATCTTCTATAAAATTTCAGTTTATTTTAGTAATATTTTCAATATTTTAGTTTATTTTCAGTTTATAGTAGTAATAAATAACAAATATTTAATAAACATTTAAAAATAAGTCTAATTGATGGAATTTTTGGGAGAATTCTGTTATAAGAGCCAACTAAACAGAAATTCACTTAAATAGTTTGATGACATCTGACATTTTAGTAATATTTTCAATATTTTAGTTTATTTTCAGTTTATTTTAGTAATAGCAGAAATATATAAAATGTAATTAATTGAATTGAGACTTTTTTACCTGGTCCCCCCCCCAGCCCTCTGTGGGGGGGTACCTAGCCCTAGCTCTAGCCCTAACCCTAGCCCTAACCCTAACCCCAGGTGGACCTGGCGGGCAGCGAGAACATCGGGCGCTCGGGGGCGGTGGACAAACGCGCGCGGGAGGCCGGCAGCATCAACCAATCGCTGCTCACGCTGGGCCGCGTGATCACAGCCCTGGTGGAGAAGAGGCCGCACGTGCCCTACAGGTGGGCCTAGGCCTAGGACTAGCCCTAACACAGGCCGCACGTGCCCTACAGGTGGGCCTAGGCCTAGGACTAGCCCTAAC